CGGCCGGCACAGCGCAGCGCAGCGCAGAGCGCCGCTCCTCAGCGGCGCCTGCCAGAACGCTCGCTAGCCTTTTGTCCTGCTCAAAACAGAACTGAAATAAGGTCAGAACAAATTAACTTGCTCCCCAGACTAAGCATGAAACACATCTCAGTTGTGTTAGCACTGGGCTTTTTTATTTTTTCCTCCCCCTTAATATTTCCTGCGCTTGCTAATTAGCGGTGGTCAGCACTGTTGGTTATCCACACAGAAAGGGAGTAGAGACAAGATGCTGTGAGGTGTATGTACAGCATCATCTGCTGAAGTCACGCCGCAGCACTTCTGTAATAAACGTATGTTAGGAGAGTGGAAGAAGCTGGAGCAAGGAGGGTAAGCATAGCAGCAACAGGGATATTAGAGCTCAGTTTAACCATGTGCAAAACTACTTGAAGGAAGCAAGACTTGAACAGGAGTCATCTGCCCCTATCAGCGATTGGTCAAATGAATCTGTGCACTCTGTGCCCTGCAAAACATCATACTAATTAAATAGTCATGCACATGATGGGAGCCAGAGGGATACAAATATGGCTGTGATAAAAGCCGTTATGTTCAAGGTTCAGCACTACCCCTTTTCTTTCTCAGATGTATTTTGTTTGAACATAAAAAAACACTTTTTCACTCTAAGGGTGGTTGAACACTGGAACAGGCTGCCCAGAGAGGTTGTGGAGTCTCCGTTCTTGGAGATTTTCAAAATCCAACTGGACACAGTCCTGGGCAACCCACTCTATGTGACCCTGCTTGAGCAGGGGAGTTGGACCCGATGATCTCCAGAGGTCCCTGCCAACCCCAACTATTCTATTTGTTGCACCAAGATTATGACTTCAGTTATGCGTTCCATTCCTATTATCTCTTGCTGATTCAGTTTCCCCTTCTGCATCTCTGTACACGTTCTCTCTGAAATTTGGCACTGTCTATTTGCAATGTGTGTAGTGTAGTGGATCCTTGAGCTCATTTGGAGCTTGTAATTACTAATGAAATGCAAGTCAAACCCATGGGTTTTCGTTAACTTCTGTACCAAACCAAACTCGACCTTTGTCACTACTGGTTGATGCAGGTCATGCTCATCTAGAGATAGGACCAAAATTATTATCTCGATGCCCAAGCTGACTTTTGACAGCCACCTTCTCCTCGATATTTTTAGCAGTTACCTGGAAGAAATAAAATCAAAGCCTACAAGGTCTGTAAATAGGTGATTTGTGCAGTTAAAAATAATTTTGATGGTAGTTTAGTACTGCAAAGTGGTTTTCGTTGTTCAGTAATTGGTTTTAATTAAACAGTTTGGATTTTAGTACAGTCAGATGCAAGGTTGTCTAGGAACAGAGAATGCATGTGTAAGTTGCAGGATGAAAACGATTTACTGGAAAGCTTTACCTCCGAGAAGGGCTTTTTATCCAATAACTGTCAATCGAAAAAATCTTAAGCGCTAATGAAGTTTGGGGCAAAAGAACAGCTTAGCTGATAGTTGGTCTAGGGGCACATTAAACAAAGTCTGATTCTGCTGTTAGCGCTTTTGAAAAGATGCTGAAAAATTTGGGAGAACATCTGGAGATAAAAAATAATTTTGTGGACTGAAAAAGCTGTTTCACAATGGCAAACTGACAACATACTTAATTTATCAAGACTTAGTAGGCAATAATATTGTTGAAGCATCCACAGAGAGTTAAGAAAATAAAGAGCTCTAGCTGAACAGATGACTATGTATTAAGATTCAGTCGCTGAAGGCTGAACTTTGATAGTCTCAAGCTGGAAATAAGACTAATCTTAAATAGGATTTTTGTCCTAGATGGAGGTGTGGTTTACTCTAGTGTAACTAGCACTTGGTATATTAGTTGTCATTCTGAAAGAATTTGAAACTGTGCAGGTCTGTTCACATGTCTTTTCCAGCTGTTTGTCCCTCTTTTGCATTCTCCTCACGTTAAGTTAAGGCTAAAGACAGGAGATCTGTTTCTCCGACTCGACTCCTTCCACTACAAACTACTGAAGAAGTGAGAATCTTTTTCACACACGGCCTCCCAGCCTTTGGGCATATGTGGGTCCAAGAGTGTACAATGCATGTTACTACTCTGTGCAAGAAATAAGCCACAGCCATGATTGGGCCCTGTATTTGCAGTTCGTTAGCCTGTCTTGTTCTGCTCTAGCATTTGCACAGAGCTTGGAGTCTATCTTGAATTTGAAGCTGTCTTGGTACAGTATGTGTCTGACTAGCACTCACCTCCCCAAAGTGACTGAAGAGTGAGCAGCTGCATGGATATTAAATGAACAGTGACCCACTCCAGCAGATCATGCTCCACCTGGTACATCTGTCATTTGTTATAAATCACTTTAACTTTTTTATGCATTCAGTTATTCTTTAGGTTATGTTGTAAAGCATGTTGCTCTTCCTGGTGGGAATGTGCGTTGAGTGAAAATAAGCAGTTTGACCTCTGGACAGCATAGCTTGAAATAAGAAAGACTAAGATCGGAAATTATTCCCTGTCTAAATACAGCTCCCTGTGTAGCAGCCGGCAGTGCAGTATATGGGGTTCAGTAATTTCCTCCAGTGACCTGCAGTGATGTCACAAATTTAGCAGAGTGACACCCTCTTCCCTGTCCTCTCCCAAAGTGCATATAGTTATTCATCCACAGATGCTTTCCAAGTGACACGTTCTTTTGCAGTTAAGAATCTCCAGACGTCTCTTCTGTCCCTAATGGACTCTGACTACAGATGATAATGCTGTTATAATTGTGTGCATGGCATTTTTGCTGAAATACAATAAAGCATCATTTTTATATTGCCATTTTGTGCTGGTACAGAATGTCAGATGTGTTTGAATGCCACAAATTCTAAGCAGTTATTTAATCTGATTGTGAAAATGAAAGGTCAAGCATGCAATTAATATGATACAATCTTGCTGCAAAGTAAGCTAGACGTTAGACTAGACGTTAGACTAGAAAGACGTTAGACTAGACTAGAATAGACGTTAGACTAGAAAGTTAAGGCAATCACAGCATTTCTCATGAAATGTCTCTTGTAAAATGTTCTATTACTCAGCTATTCTTGTTCTAAGAACGCACACTGAAGTAAGAATCGTAACTCATATCACAATAGAGCAGCTTGAATCTTCATTTGTGCTAAATAACAAAGAAATCTAGCTAAAATTTTGATTCACAGATAGCCTGTATGAATAGGTGGCTTGAGACATGCATATTTTGGCTTTGGCCTTTGTCGCACAGATCTCCTCGCTAATCTCTGAGGAGCTGTCAGAAGCACTTTGCACTGGGCTACAAGGAAGTCTGGGAAGGCAGTATAGCAGAAGAGAGTGATGCGATATTTGCTCTGGCATTCAGATCTCTGCTCTGACTTGGATGGATCAAACCCTTTCTGCAGTATAAGGCTATATTTACAAAGACTGCAAGTGGCAGAAATTTTAAAACAGTAAGAATTCAGAGTAGTCATATCTGTATAGAGTTTTAACAGAGGGAGGAGTTTGTAATCCCAATACCTGACATAAGAACAGGGGATTTGAACAGTTTAATGCAGAAAGAAATGAAAACGTCTGAGTGAGATTCAGAAATTTCTGTTTGAAATCTTTGGAATATTCTGCATAGGGATACTTCTGTCTCTCCTTATGAGTGACTCATCTTTAGATAAAATTGAGACTGCTGAAACATTCAGGCGGATGAGAGATTAAATTGAGACACAGTGCAGAAAACAATTCATCTGTCAGATAACTTCAAGTAACAGATAGGGCCAAAGTAGTAGATCTTCCATGCAATAATACATGAAGATAATAACTAATGAAAACACAGAGGTAAAATGATAAAACAAAATATTTTGAAAAGAATGTTTTTGCATATTACAGTAGATAATTCTAACCTCTCAAAGAGTACCATGTTCCTGAAGGCAAGAGTCAAAACAGGAATTATTATATACGTGACAGAGTAGCATGATTATATATTTTTCAAGCAATAACACATTAAGGCAATTCAGAATACCTTGGAAGTACAAATTATTTTCTATTACTGTACAACTGAAGATGTGTTTGAGTATAGCATCTTAATGACCAGGACATTCGGACAGAATACATCTTCATAAAGGTTGCAGATAACAAAAACGGGGGAAGCAGGCAACACACTGGAGGGTAGGGTTGTTATTCAAAAGGACCGTGTGTTGTCAAAACCAGTGTTTTGCCAGAAAGCAAGCATATCTTGCATTTATAAACAGCTTAGCTTTCTAAACTACTGAGTAAGGAATTATGTTGTTTTTTCACAGACTATTGGATGCCTGTAACAATTGAAACCAGGTGTCCAGAACTGCATTTGCTAAAAAGGTTCTAGTTATGAATGCCCAATCTGAGTTTTGTGGCTGCTTGAATACGTGTGGGTAACCCATGAAGCAATTCTTTGTTCTTAACGTGCTAGAAATTCAGGTATATTGTAATACATATGAAAGGAGGTGTTCTGAAATTAACATAAAATTCAGGGTCTATAAGGGAGGAGGAAGTGGTGAGGAAACAGTTTGCCATGAACATAACAGTAGACCTAAGAATTGTAGACATAACAATTAAATGTGTTACAAGACTGGGAGAGAGTTACCTAGTCATTGGCATTTTCTTGCTCCATATTAAGGTCTTGGTTTATTTGCTGAGGTGGCCGGGGGCATGAATAATGCCATATGGCAATCCTATGTAGCCTCATGTACCCTTGATTACCTGATACATGGATCTGTAAGACATGTATTTTATGGCTGGTAAATCTTCATCTGTGCTGAAGTCACTTTTTACTACTATACTCAAATTACAGGACCAGGGCCAGGAAATCTCCATATTCAGACTGATAAGATCCCTAGAATTTTCTTAGGGAAATAGAAGGAGCTGACGGTAGCTTCTCTTCACTATTCAGAGGAGCTAGCGTTTGAACGTAATGCAGTTGGACAGAAATGTTAAGGACAGGAGAGATCCTAGGACTGCTTGGGATGGGAGAAAATGGTATATGGATTTTTCAGCTATAGCTGAGTAGAGAAAATCAGCTATAAATCTGTGGAAATCTTTCACTGAGAGGGAGTTTGCCTCCAGCTGAGCCAGTCAGTGTTACCAGAGGCAGCCGTGATTCCAGGACACAAGTTCCTATTGATTCCAGTCAGTGTCAGCTATGTATTCTGTCACTTATACCATATACTCACCACGCTAAGCACGGGGACTCACTGCTGAATTAACACTTTTTGCTTTGGCCTTGTTCTGTAGGATTTACTTTTTTATTGCAAGCAGAATTCCCCTGGCACTGATGCTTGTCCCCTGGCACAGATGATGTCCTGCCAGATGGAAAATCTGTCAACATTTGTTTGGGTAATGAAGTCTTTACAAATATTTGTCTCAATGCCATAGTTGCTGGGCACAGGCAGCAAAAAACGCAGAAGCTTCACTCACGCATAAGAAGTCATCTGCTTACAGTACAATTTAAGGGGTGAACAGTCATTAGGATAAAAGGAATGCTCTAGATGTTCATATAACCTTGAATTACATGAAAATTGTTAATGAATGCACAGGACTCAGAGATGCATGTGGATAATAAGCTAACTAATTCAGATACTTATTTAAGCTAACTAATTCAGATACTTATTTTAATTTTTCTTTAGAGTAGCTAAGTGTACAGCCAAAACCCTTAGGTACCTTACAGTCTCTTACAAGCCTGTCCAAAATGATACTGCACAGATGCTCATCTGGAGCTCTGCTTAATGTTAAGACTCCTTGTATTTGCAATTTAGGTCTGGAGCCTTAGGGAGATTTTCTAAAAGATTTCTGTTTCCACATTCAGCTAGAATCACAGTGAAAGCCACCTTTAAAAACAAAACAAAAAAGGGATTTTAGGCTGCCCCTTCTCACAAAATGTGCAGGAACTGAATTATCTTTCAAACTAGTCATCTTCTATCACGCTCTACTAATGTTGACCAGTGGGCTCAGATTTTATTGGGAGACACAAGGTTTAATTAAATATATATATGTATATTTTTTCTCTCCAAGAAAGCGAGGCTAATATTGGGACTGACATATAAGGGAGTAATCAAACTTGGGATGAAAAGTAGTGATTTTACAACAAGGAGCTAATGGTCCTTTCTTCTTACTTAATAGCTACCTCTTCTTACTACAGGTTGTGTTCTTCTGCAAAAGGGGAGATTTATTCACAGTCAGTTGTGTTACTAAGTAGATGAATTGTTTGCCATTGTACCAAATGGAGCTTTTATCAGTGCATATAGCACTATTACTGGATCTAATTGTTATCATCAAGCCTGAAAGGCATGATTGTTATGTATCAGCCTCCCCGATTCTTTACTGACAGGTTAGGGTGCTATCTTAGCCACTGAAAGATGGAAGCAGGTGTTTCTGCTACAGTTATTTAGGTATTTGAGAGAACTGAGGAGTTGTAAAGGATTTCGCTACCTAAAAGTACTGAGGTCTTTCATCTTAAACATCACTCAGCTGGATTCTTCTCCATTCAGATACTGATTTCAACTAAGACACTAAACATTGTAGGAACACTTTTAATGAAAACACTGAATGGAAAAGGCTGAGTTGTATCTCGATACTGCTGGCCTTTGGATAGTCTTGCCAGATCTTTCCATGATTTCAAGGACCTTGGATAACACAGGGACAGAGGACTACACCTTGTAGGAGTCCTTAGATGAGACCCTTGAAGATGCAGGAACAGTTACTTATAATTACATTCTATGTTACTGTGAGAAGGAGCCTATGCTGTTTCACCTTGTTTTCAATTGCCCCCCACATGCAAGTTTTTGGAGGAGGGATAGGGGTATCAGACTGTCAATCCTGGATGCTGTGAAGAAAGGCTAAGTTCAGATAAAATGTCTGTCTGTCTGGACTGTCTACTAGAGTAGCAAGTACTGCTTTTCTAGCCATGCAGCACTGGTAGCTGACAGTAGAGGCTTTTTATAACTGTTTCTTAAATTCGCTTATGTAGATAATGGTTACTCATCAGGAGTGACTATCCTAGGCCTTCTGGTATCTCCAGTATTTTCTTACTTTGGTCAGGATTGTATGCTCCGAAAAGAGTTATAAACTTACGCCGTAGTAGGGGCTAACAGGTTAAGTTTCAGGTGTTCTCTGCTCAGTTGTCACCCAAGAAAGTGGCATTTTCATACACAAGTAGTGACCGTCATGGCCCTAAATACTTCTGTGGGTATGTAAACTGTAGCTAATTTATTTCTGAGTACAGTATATTTGGCATCTATTAACAGGAAAATCAGAGGTTTTAGTAATCAATAGCTTCTGGGGGCTTCATAAATACTGACACAATTCATCGAGTTCTAATTGTTTTCTTGACACTTTTTATCATACAGGTTCATAGCCAAGAACATTATGAGGCTGCAGCGTCTGGGGATAACCCATGTTCTGAACGCAGCGGAGGGGAAGTCATTCATGCATGTGAACACTAACGCAGAGTTCTATGAAGGCACAGGCATCAGATACCATGGCATTAAAGCTAACGATACGCAAGAATTTAACCTCAGTCGCTATTTCGAGGAGGCAGCTGATTTTATTGAGAAAGCACTTTCCCAGAAAGATGGTAAGGCAAACTGAAATACTTTTCTGCCCTGCTTTCGGTGCATTGTATACCTTTCTCGGTCATTTATTTCACTGTTTTAAATGATTTTGTTCAGATTCTTGGCTGAACAACCTAGTCAGGAATTCAGATCAAGACTCAGGATCAAAGATACCTGAATGCACAGAAAAGCATCTTAATCTGCTGTCTGTAAATGTGGGTCTCCATTATATGGCAAATGGAAGTCTGTCATTGCAGGAATGACTTTGAAAGTGAAACAGCTACTGTATCCTAAAACAGTGCCTTTCTAGGAGGATATGTTCTTGTTTTTCTTTAGACATGGGGTGAATCACATGAAAAATCAAGAAAATAAATGCAAGGTCTAAAAGTTGTTTTGGGACACTGGAAGTTATAAATTAGAGGAAGGATTGATATAGGTAATGCATAGCTGAAGAATACTCACACCACCTGCTGTGTTCTTTTCTACAAAGTGTCTCCGAGTCTGCAAAAAGTTTAGAGACTGTGGCCTATTTAGAGCTATTATTGCATTAAGTTTTGTTTTTGGGTTTTTTTTTTTTTTGGTAATGACGATTGTCTCACTATTCCCTTGGGTTGTAAGAAGGCTGGAAATATTTGCTATGTTGCTGATTGCCACATTGTAGAGAAATGTGTTTCCTCAGAGCAGAAATCCGAGGACATAGTGCAGTGGGCCAGACAGTGCTTCTTGTTGTCCGACTTTTTCAATATGCCACTTATTTCTGCATATGTTTAATTTCTTTGATGTTCAGTCGTGAAGCAAGAAAGAGGAGGAAAGAGAAACTCCCGTAATTTTAGGAGTTCTTTCTCTGAAACGGGCAAAAAGGTGGACTAGAGCTGTGGTTTGCTTTTCATAATGGAAAGAAGTTACACCTCAAATTTGGTACAGTACGAAAAGGTCTAAATATTAAAATACAGCTCTTCCAGTTAGCTTTGTGACCTGCTAAAATAGGTTGTGGTAGGAGCAGTTTAACAGTGCTAGCTGTGCTGTGGCTATCCCAACTGAGTTTGACTAATAATACCTCACAGTAATCTGAGCGGTCACAGAATTACTCTGAATTTGCAGTTAACAGTTCTATCTGGTCAGATTCTTTCAGTCTTAGTAGCTGTCCACCAGGCCTGCCACTGTTCTCTTACCATGGCAGACAAAGAGGAACTTTGTAGTTTGTTAAGCTGGAGCCAGTTCTCAGATTAGCTCACTGCTGAAATTTGGTGGTCTTGGTTAACTATTGCAGGTTGGGTAAGGACGATGAAGAGTGCAGCAGTATCTTCTCCTGCAATTTCATTTTAGCATTGTAGTTGCATGAAGTTCTGGAAGGCAGCTAAACGAAGACAGCTTTGGTTTACTAAAGTCATCTGTAAAACTCCCTGCTTCTCACAGAGGAAGGCTAGAAACCCTTTTGCTTCAGAACGTTTGCAGAGGGGAAGTGAACTCTCTTCCTCTTACCTGCTTACGAATCTTTAAATATTGTTAATTTATGGCTACGGGGTCTCAATAAATGTTGAGTGTTAAGAATCAATTGTTTTTTGTTTTTTAACTTGCTTGTAATCAAGACTGCAGATCAAGGCAAATGTGGTAATGGGCTTTCTGTTGTATGGTTCAGAGCAAACTGTGGATATCATGAAAATGTATGCATACAGTTCATCTGTTCTCTTTGTCTCAGAAAATAATTTACTCTGGAGACTAGCCTGGGGCTGCGTCTGCCGCTGCATTTGAGGAGGGGAACATTTTTATGTCTGGAAAAGCAGGTCAAAGAGGAAGCAACTGAGAGAGAATCAAATCAAGTCAGATTTCTAACAGGGAGAAATGGCCTGTTTTATTGTTGTTGGATACCCAACAAATACATGGAATGACTTCCCCAGTCAGTTAGCTGGAAGCATTTTGTTGGTGCTGGCATGGGTGTGATTAGATGCTTCCTGTTTTTGTTGCCGCACACTTGTTTATGTGACTTCATAAATGGCCAGGGAAGCCAGGTGTCATCCAGCATAGAATTAGCATAGGAATTACCAGTAATGCAGTGTAAAGGCTGAGTATCTTTGAAAAGATGTAGTATATGACAAACAGCATATTTTTCTGTACCCTCTGTCTTCAGTCCAGTGTATTTTAAACTGTGTGCCATTTATTTTTGATGACCATTACTGGTCATCTTCAGGGGCAAGGCTTATTCCAAAACACAAAGAGTGGAGAAGTGTAGTAAATGGGCACAGTTTGAATCTTTGCAATATAGCAGCAAATACGTTTTAGTGTGAATGTTTGTGCTATACGACCTCTTTTTTCTGCATTTTTCTTGATGACAGATTGAGTAGCTACTAACAGTGGTAGCACCTTTCCTCCAAGTTTTCTATGTCTTCTCTAGCATTCAGAATTTTGAGTTCCAGGCTGCTGGAGGATTAATATTATTACCTTTTATATCCTAGCTAGTTCACGTTATTCTTCTATCCTAGATTCTAATGTAACCCTAACAACCCTATGACCTGTCTTCCCTGCAGGCCAAGTGTTTGTGCATTGCCGTGAGGGCTACAGCCGTTCTCCTACATTAGTCATCGCCTACCTCATGCTTCGCCAGAACATGGATGTCAAGTCTGCATTGAGCACTGTCCGGCAGAAGCGAGAGATTGGCCCCAATGATGGCTTTCTAAGGCAGCTTTGCCAGCTCAATGAGCGATTAGTGAAGGAGGGCAAACTGAAGCCCTAAAACAGAGCACAGTAGTATTTTGGGAAGTTTCTCAAACTGTAAAAGGATATGTGTTAAGTGCTTTAGATACCCAAACCCCAACCACCAAGCTAGGTCACGTAATGTGAGGGAGACAATTCCTGCTCTTGTCTAGTGTAAGTATCTTTTGCAAACTCTGGGTCTTTTAAAATGGCACAAAATTCTCCCACTTCTCAGAGCTGTTGCAGTAAAGAAGCGTCTTTAGAGGGGAAACGCTGATGAGAACAGCTGTTTTCACATGTATTTCAGAGCCCCCTGCAGATCCTGCCATGTATGTGCTTTGCATTGACCTTGACGGTGATTTGTTTAAGCCTTGTCTTGTATCCCACCAGAACACCGTTTTCTGAGAGCCCCAACACGTCTCTCTTCGCTCACTCTTAACTGAAGTACTGTATTTTCTAAAGTTTCTCTTCCACACACACAGGTGCCTGAAGTCTGAGTGTAGGAGCTTCAAGGAATGAAGAAGTATATATGCCAATGCACAGATGCACTCTCATGTAAAATGATGTGTATACAGCTTTGTGTTTAGTGTGGGTATACGCAAAACACACAGAGGATTCAAGTGTGGTAGTAAAGACATTCAGAGCCCCATCTTAATACACGCTGGATTTCCAAGAATATTTGTTTCTTTTGCTGTTGCGGTTGACATGAAGTAGTCTGATATTAACGGGATTTTTGTATTTTTATTTTAAAATCTTACTAGAAAAAAAAGTCAAGAGTAAATGCTGAAGAAAAAACTTCAGCAAGGAAGAAAGAATGTCTGTATCAAGTAATGCCTGTACAAGATGTAAGGTAAAGTCCTAAGTGACAGAATAGAACGGCTCCTGAGGTTTGTATTGGATTATAGTGTCTCCCTTGACCCTCACTGTTTATTAAACTTGAAAGCTTGAACTGAACCAGCACATACGTAGATTACTTTCAGGAGGGCAGTGCACAGGTGCTTGCAAAGCAGTTTGTAGAAGTACACTCTGTCTTGTTGGATTGCTTGCATGGTTCCATTACATAGAAGTGAGAATTGCTAAGTATCACATGGACTAGCAAACATTTCCTTTCTAATAAAATAAATGAAGTCATGGTTCTGTCTGACATGGCAGATGAAATGAGTCATTGCAATGTTGGGAGAGGAAGCTTTGTTTAGGGTATGCCTGACCTAGTGGGTAAATATGTGAGTGAGTTAGCATAGCACTGTGCTAATACAAAGGGTCTCCCACAAAGAACTCAAGAGTTGTTGGTTAAACTAATAGAACCCTGAGATGTTTATGCTCAGTTTTTATATGTGCTTTAATGTAGGTACAGATTTAAAATCTAGCACTATTTAACAAGAAACACTCTTGTATTAGTAATGCATATAACCATAGTTCCACAGTTTTGTACATTCAATTCACTTATCAAAAATCACAAAGGACATAGATTGTTTTACTTCTAGTTGGTTTGCCTTTTTTCCATTTAATCGGATAGCTTTCTTGAAATTAAACTCCGGAGATGATTATTTTGGTTGAAGATGGGGCTTATTTCAGTTTCCTTGCACAGGATGGGAATTACCAACAAGTAGTACTTTGTCTTCTGTGGCCTTTAAAGGAACAACTGGGGAACACTGCATAGCAAGTGTTTCCTTTCACCTCCCTACAGTCAGTCAATATTTAGTGCTTGTTCTGAAGCAGAATGGTTCAGTAATACCTAGCAGTAGAGAGTTCCTTAGGATAATTGCAATTGCAATTGTTCAGTGTCTCCCATTTTATCGAATTTAATTGCTGTTTTCAAAATTCCTGGTTACTTTTTTCATGTTATGCCGTGTGGGGAATAGGAATGCTGGCCTTATCTTTTCTACAATACTGCCTTTTTCATTCAGCAGTCTTATTTATAAATCACACTTTTAAAATGTTTACTGTGGGCCCAGATTTTTTTTTTTCCTCTCTCTGCCTGCACTGTGTATTCATAACACCTATCCACGCTACAGGAAAAACAAACAAACAGAGGTGCACATGCATGCACTTTGGCTTTGATTTGTTACTTAGAACTCAAAAATTCCAGTCCAATAAACGACTAAACAAACTATTTGGTATTAGATTTTTTTTTACTATCCCAAAGAGTATAAAAATGCTAGTAGCTGTCAGATTAAAAAGCAAATGTTTTGTTAGAATGTGATAAAATGCGTTAAAATGGTGATGCTTTTGTACAGTTCTACAGGTCGACAACTGTCTAAAAATAGAGATAAATCAAGAAATACAAGAAAAGGTTCATGTGTTCCAGGTGTTTTTTTTTTTTTTTTTTTTTGATTCATAGGACACTGCTCCATTCTAGTGGTAACTTCAGGGATACTCTGGCCAATTTATCTCAATACAACAAAACTTAATTAACAAACGTGTTGTAATATGCGGGGGAGAAGACTAAGAAAGACGCTCATAAATTAATTAAACTGAGCTCTGAGACAGCATATCCTAGTCTGAGTTACTGATAGGTGACTCTCAACCATTTCTAACTTTGCCTTTAGAACAGGCTAAAAATAGTTAGGCTGTCACACCACTGCTCCATTAATGGATTGTACACTGCTCTTTTATCTTTCTGTTTAAGTACTAGAACGCTGCAAATTCTTCTGCCTATCTTAGTGGACCAAGAAGAGCTTATATTCCTCTAATCCATAATCATATGCCATGTGCATCTGTGTGTCTCTTTCTGACTGTGGAAGGCAAGATTGTGTAGAAAGAGGAATGAGACCTTTCTACCATTATAATGTGACATTGACAGAATATCAGAAGAAGTATGCCTTTTTGTTTATGAAGTTACCATGTAGCTGCCTGTTGAGATAAGGTGTTCCTTACAAGCATGCTAGCTGGAGAAGGTATTTTAAAAAACAAATAAGCAAGCAGAAACATAACATTTTTGGTGTTTAAAAATCTTTTGATGATAGCTAAAATAGGGTAGTCTGGATTTATATGAATATGTTTATCCTGAATAGCAGCATGGTAGTTTTTGTGTAGACAAGAGCTTTGGAGAAGGGATGGGATCTCTGTAGAATATGCATCTGTCACAGAACAAGGATATCCAGCCTGTCAAATCCGGGGGGGGGGGAAGGGAAGATGTGGGGAAGGAACTACTAGCATTTTGTAACACGGAGCAAAGATGAAAGTCTGGTTAGATAATAATTCCTCTAAAATGATCATATATGTACAAATAAATTGACCTTGTTATCTCATGCTGAACCAAATCTCACCCGTTATATAAGCACAGAGGAGGAGTTTCTATCTTAAAATTAAGATTCAAAGCAAAAATGACATTTTCGGAGCGCTTTCTGTCCTCATCCTTTTGCCATGCAGCTAAGACTACACTGTTGACAACAACAGTGTTGTATCTAGCATGCTACTCTGAACCAAAGGTACCGCCAGAAAATACTTCACAGAAGGATGTTGCAATAGAGCACTGCTGACAAGTGAGCATTTTGCAAAGCTATTTCAAAATTAGACTAACAGCATATGAATGCAAGGCTAGCAGCCAGTATAAACCATACTGTAATTCCATTTGGGGATGTTGAGCACGTGTCAGTATTGGACATGTTTTTCTCCTGCAACATGAGTTCACTTCTCTCTCTTGGTCTTGTGAGAATTAATTAAACTTCATAAAAGGCTTTGCAGATGAAAAGCACGGTATATAATAACACTACACGCTCTTTGACTTGAAAGACAAGCTTATGTCAGGTATATGTTCCTCATGCCGAGGGGAAAAAGAAAAAAAAAAAAGAACCATGGCAGTAGATGTGATATTTGCAATGTTTACTTTCATCATTTAAATATGTTCAATGAGATGTCGTCTCTTGACCAGAAATAGTTCAATCTCTTACACTTGAATTGGAAGCAGGATTTTTTTTCCCTTCTTTATTAAATCAGTTTCGCTAGTTTACTAGAAGAGTCTTAGCATAGACGGACTATCCAATGTAGTCTCATTAGTATAGCAGAGAGGTTTCTTCTAAAATTACTGTCTGGGCTCTATCAATGAATAAACTGAAAACAGAACAGACCTCAGAGGTAGCTTCCAAGGGTTTGTTATTGAGAATTCATATCCTTATGCTATGCTAGCTAACTCATGCTGTGTATGTCATTGCAACTCTGAATCCAGATGAGCAATTGTGAACCAGGCCTTTGATTTTGTTTGGGGTAATTTTCTACGGAAACTTGGGAGTTAGAAGTCTGTAATGCCCTACTGAAAATATAATTAAAATCCATAAATTATATAATAATCAAATTATTTGGCCCTGGAGATAAAAACAGTCTGTACTAACTGTCTACAGAATTTTTTTCTTATCATTCACAGTCAGTTAATAGTTCCACAGGCTTTTCACAACCCCTCTTCTTTTTCTGATGTATACTTCTTATATACGTGGAGCTGTTAAGTCTACTTTTGATTGTAAAGCACTCTCTCTGGTAGAGACTAAACTGGAAAAATATATATGCATCAACAAAAAAATAATTCTTAGTAGGAAGGTTAGCGTGGTAGTAAATAGCCGATTTAGCCCCTTTTTTCTCCTGGTACTGCTTTATTTCAAAAATTCAGATGTACCAAGTCAATATCACTCATACAGGCTTGGTACATTCTCAAGTACAAATAATCTGACTAAGCATATGGCAAATTTATTGTATGTCGATAGTGAGATCAATGACTGAAGTTACTATAGATTGGGCTTTGACTGTTACGCTGAAGAATTAACTCTTGCTTTTGTCAACCAGTTTACAAACAGTTAAATGCTACTGTATGTTAATCATACATATATGTTACTCTACTTTTTTCACAGTAAGGTTATGTACGTTTCTTGTGGAAAGCTGCTGTTGCTGACTGTTGTTATTTGTGCCATCTCGTAGCTTTGGACCTTGCATATATTTTGCCGCCATCTCAGATCATTCTTCTAGTAATCAGTGGATTTGGATTGATGTGCACAGTGCTACATTTTGGTTTATATTCTGCAGATAGATAGGCTCCTGAACCAAGCTGATCATGGAGTTGTTAATTTCACCCACTATTTTAGAAACAACTTCTTCAACACTAATTTTAGCTAAATCAACTCTCACCATTATTAATCATTCATCAGCTTAGATATCTGTTACACAGCAGTAAGACAATACAAGAGGTATGGCTAAAATCTTGTGCAATTGCAAAACCAAAAATTAAAACTGGTAGCCGAGCAACTCCCTTAGGGAGACAGTATGTCCTACAGAAAGTACCACACTAGAAAAATGATAGAGTCTTTGTCAAATACAGCAAGTAATGGGATAGGTCTGTCTTGAATTTAAATGCAGCTCTATTCTGTGAGTAAATCAAGAATGTCTGCTTATAATTTTTGAATGGGCAATGACTGACTCCAGTTCTTACCCTTTAGATAACCTCTTCCTTGGTTTATTTTGGACATAAACCCTACAAACTCAGGTTGCGTGCAGCTGAATTAAGGCTTTGTATTTTAATTCCAGTATCTCAAGGGAGCCGGCTAGCTGACTCCCACCAGATGGAGCTGTATGCTTACTATTCTTCACTAGATAGTCATAATTCCATCTCTGGGTGATGCTACTGTATGACTCTAATGTATTCTCTTGTTAGTATCAAAAAAGGTTATTCACCACAACGGTTTATCAATGCGTTTGCTCATCTCCGGTGGGAGAAAACTAAGCTTCCGTTTCTTCTTGGCTTCTTAGAGGAGTTCACAACATAGCATTCAGCCTGATATATTCAGGCGGCCACACATGGCTCAGCAGAATTCTCGTGAGAAAGATAAAAGTTACTCAGGCAAGGCTGGCTCAGCAGCATCTCGGGAAGAGAACTGTTTGAGAAGCAGGGAAGCTCTTGAGCTTGTCAAAAACGGAATTCCTGGGCAGTGTGCAAATTAAAGCCTAATTCACAGAAAAGTTTATAAACTGTGCACGTGTATCTTAGTGCTTGGATATCTAACACAACAACCCCGGCCCCAGCTATTGCGGGGGTACGTTTAGCACCAGAGATTACATTTGGCAGAACTGATTTTAGAAATTGTTTTCTATGCGTTTGCCTTCATAGTACAGTGTTGCAATTTAAGCTCAGTAGGACACAAGTCTGAGTCCAGACAGCAGCAGTAAAGGCTTCAGGCTAAGTATAGGATGCCAGTTTACTAGTTGTACCCGCTCCCACCAATACATCTGATGCTTTCTTAGCTAGACTAATGGTGTTCTTTCAGCTCAGAAAATAGTATAATAGTATCCCAGTTCTGCGGATAGTGGTCTCAAACTCGGTTCCACCCGGGGTGGGGGGGAAGAAGGAGGGTCGTTATGAAAGTGTCCTCGATGTTATAAAATCAAAAATGATTTTTGTTTTTTCCTGTGCTTCATTAACAATGTAGAATGAATTGTTCATGGGGGCTGCAGCCCAGACCACTTCTGCTTTCCTTTTTGCAGAAAATAGAGTGAATAGGCAACCAACTACAGGAAGTGAAAGTGTTTTTATAGTTAAGGAAACTGAATGCCTAACAGGATTTGGCTGCTTTTCTTGCCCCTACTAATGCTGCCCTCCTAAATTGTGCACAGGAGGTTTTAAGCCAGAGGCTAAATATAGCTTCCAATTTTGGCTTTTCTAGATTTTTTCCATGATTTCTCCCAGTCATCGATACAGGTAAGTGTTAAGACCGGTAAAAGAGGGGATTGTTTAAATACTTAGGGTGAAACTGCATGGAAGAAATCGTTTATGCTTCATCTGAAAATAATTGCTGTAAGTGTGATTCTTTGTAGTAGGCCTAACGCTGACAATGATATCATGAACCTCGAAATACTCTCTATGCAGACGTTATGTGAAAAGAAATTAACAGAAACAGAGCTTCGTTAAGTAGAGAGACACAATTCTGAAGACATTTAAACAGAGGAGCGAATAGGTGACGGTTCCTCAGAGATTACCAGTACTCAACTTTGTTCTAGTCTCCTGTTCTGCTTTTCATCTGCACTCCCATTCTGCCATGAGCTGTGACCTATCAGCTCTTCAAACACAGGTTACTTTGGAAAAGGTCACTATGCTACTGGTATTCTTGCCCTGACAAAAAGAATACTGAGTTAAGATCCTTGCTTTTAGTGCCTGGTCACCCTTCCCCACTTTTTCAGATAAAACTGAAGGAAAAAAACCCCACTATTTTTCTTGTGGGCCATTAGAGCTTCACGTTACAGTTTCACAGAATCACAGAACGGCGTAGGTTGGAAGGGACCTCTGGAGCTCTAGTCCAACCTCCCTGCTCAAGCAGGGTCCTCTAGAGCATATTTCCCAGGATCACGTCCAGACGGGTTTTGAGTATCTCCAGGGAAGGAGACTCCACCACCTCTCTGGGCAACCTGTGCCAGTGCTCAGGCACCCTCACAGTCAAGAAGTTTGTCCTCAGGTTCAGATGGAACTTCCTGTGGTTCAGTTTCTGCCCGTTGCCTCTCGTCCTGTTGCTGGGCACCACGGAGAAGAGGCTGGCCCCCATTCTCTCGACCACCCCCCCGCCCCGCCAGATACTTGTACACATTGAGGAGATCGCCTCTCAGTCTTCTCTTCTCCAGACTGAACAGGCCCAGCTCTCTCCGCCTTTCTTCAGAGGAGAGATGCTCCAGTCCCCTCATCCTCTTTGTAGGCCTCCGCTGGACTCTCTCCAGTAGTGCCGTGCCTCTCTTGTACTGGGGAGCTCAGAACTGGACACAGGACTCCAGGTGAAGCCTCACCAGGGCTGAGTAGAGGGGCAGGATCACCTCCCTCCACCTGCTGGCAACACTCTTCCTAATGCACCCCAGGATTCTTTTCTGAATAAAAGAATAATAGCTATATTATAAGGGCTGAAAGCAGAGCTTAAGAGATCTTCATACACAATTTCAAATATAATTTGATCATGATCATCTAACCTGTTTTTACAAAAAGAATCCTCCAAGGAAGATGAATCCACAGCTTTCGAAGCAGGCATCTGTCCTTTCTTCAGAATCCTTTTTATTTGGTGGGCAATACCTTGAATGGAAAATAGATTTAGTCGTAAGTGAAAAAAATTGTGCTTGGAGAAACCTTTGCAAGGGCTAAGTATTTGGGCTTCCTATATTTGTCAGACCAGCATTAATTGCTTTGGAGCGTAGACCAGCATTAATTGCTTTGGAGCGTAAGAGGAAGTTATTAATGAAAGATAATCAGCCCTGTTGCTGCTGTTTATAGGAAGAAAGGAAACAGCACATCTCCGGCAAATGATGTGGCAACATTCGTTATTAAAGAACGACATCCTGACAGACTCTGCACAAAAAAGTTTCATGTATGAAGACAACAGTGTACTGTATTCCTCTCTAGGAAAGAGAGTAACTCCTGTGGTGGTAGGATGAGGAGGATGCAGGCTGGGGGGAGACAGGGAGAGGGAAACAGTGCAAACAGTTGTATGCAACACAACGCACAATTGCTCTTAGAGCTTCTTGGGACTATTTGGAAAGAAAGGCCCCGCCAAAACGTGTTAATCTGTAATTTTGGAGAAGAAAGGGCAGGAGAGAGAGCATGTCACAGTATATTTCAGATGCTATTGTTTTAGGAACGGACCATTATACAAAATAAGTAGGCTACAGCTCATCTAACTCAGTGCCGCTATTGCATCTGCTATGCGTCGCTGTGTGTGTGTGTGGAAGGCAGAAGAGGTGAACCGTCCTCAAGTCATCATTGCTATTGTTTGAATGTATTATTTTTTCATCTGGGTCACACCAAGGGTGAATGTGCCCCTCACTTTAAATTTGGTGACACCTGTTTTCCGTGCCAGGTCAGGGCAACTGTCAGACTGGAATGCAAGCCTTAGGTGATCAGTCCTAGGGAGCAGGGAGAAGACAGACGGCCCCAGCTGTTTGCAGTGTTCAGACAGGTAGACCAGAAGGCAGAGCACAGAGGCTGTTATTGACATTCCAGCTAATTGTTAAAAAAATGCTGGTTAAGTGATTCACTTAACATCTGTTCTACACGAAATATTTTCACAGGGATGAACTGTGTGTGACAAACATTGCAGCTATGCACAGAGGTGCTTTACTGTTTTATGCAAACATTTTGTTTTCAGTAGTTATGATGAGAGCTCATTGTAGTTTCTAATCTAACTTAAAAGGTGAGATACTTTTTGATTAATGTATTTAACCTGACATCATTTGTAAATAATGTGGAAATATCTATGGTCTTGAGGCACAGAACTTGCATGCCACTGTCCCCGCTATCACTTTATTTCTGCAAGGGAAAAGAAGAATGCCATAGATGAGATTTTAAAACATGACACATGAACACATCTTGGGCATAGATGTCCTAGGTATTAGATCAGCTCTTTTCTAATTGGTTGTACCATGATTACAAATCAGTCTGGCCCTGTTCTGTGTTTAAAGTAAGCAAATGTCCTAAAAATCAACACACACAATCTGCTGTACAAAATGTCAGCAGAAATAGTGGTATGCAATGATATTAAAGCAAATGCAAATGCAAATGCAAAAAAAAAAAAAAATGCAAAAGAGCACATCAGAAAGCACGGTGTGCAACAATCTGGCTGTATAGCTTTACTAACATGCTCCAAATAACCTATATTTTTAAGGAAAACTAAGTAAAACAAATTCTCATTTTGAAAAGAAGAGCTCTTCCCTGTTTCTTCTAGTCCATTTGAGAAACAAAATGCAGAGATCCTTGTTTTGTAAAGAAAACAAAAATTATAAAACCTCAATCATTTATCTGCAGGGACTGAAATGCATCACTACTGAGCTACAGTTTCTAATTGTGCTTACTTTATACTTGGGGAAAAAAAGGCACCAAAAAAAAAAGAAACCCCACACCCCACAGAAAAAAAGTTCCCAATAATGAGTCTGAAACCCCTTGAAAAAGACAATAACCAGAGTTTCAAATATGGAGATCAAAGCAGAGCTTAATTATAACACTGTTAGAAAAATTTGCAGAAAAGACTTGTCAGGCTACAGCTCATCCTAGTCTTGTCAATCACCCACCATTGTTACCAGGCAGAAAAATGAAGTATATGAGAAGCTTTTAAGCACACAGAGTATTTTTTGCTAAACCACCCCCACACACCCATTTAATTTCTGACCCATACTGACAAAAGCTTAGATGAATGAGTTGTTGTTTGGCCCTTCCCACTTTGTATAGTCATTGGCTGGCTTGGTTCTAAAAAAGATTTAAAAAAGGACAATAATTTGCCTTTGCCTGGGATCTGAGGCTGTGAGGGTGCTGCAAAGCTAATCTGGGGGCTGCCACCATGCAGATCTCTTGGGCTATGTGCTCTGTTTGTGTCTTAATCCAAATTGCATTTCGATCGGTGGAAGGGTGGCAAATGTTTAAAAATGATGCTACAGAAATCATTCCCGAGATCACTGAAAATACAGAAGCACCGATGGAGCAGACTTACAGTGACAACAACAATACAATGAACCAGGCAAAGCATGGGGGAAGACAGATACAACAGTCTCCAGACCCTAATGGTAAGAAAAATGTTGTATTACTGTTTTAGATGCTAACAGACAGTTTATGAGAGGACATTTAGTATCATCTATGGGTATTTATTAAAACCTTTTGGTATGGACCTAATGCTGTAAGTGATAGGGAATTACATCCACTGTTGAAGAAGTAGCAATGCAAACATCAGGAGGGCTATGTCAGGGTTAACTGATAAAAGAAAGGTATGGCTTATCTATTAAACAATCCTTAGGTACTACAATATGCATTCCCGTCCTGCCCAGGAGCTATGTGCAGACACAACTCCAGGACGTAAAACCTGTGGAAAAACTTGACTTTTAAACGTACAATACAAGCAGCAGTCATCAGCGGTTTAAATTTCCCTGTGTAACACGCTTGCAAGCATTGTGCGAAACAGCATGGGTCTTCTTTCTCTCTTTGAAATTAGGATGGGGCAATGGCTTGGTAATAGAGCCAGTAAGGTTTCTTAACTATTTAGGAAGAGTCATACTAGTGATGTCTTTAAGATCACACAATGAAAAGGTCACATGGAGTTTACACTGAGCTAGACCAGAGAAGCGTGCTGCTCACTGTCCTTTGCCAACAGTAGCCAGAGCTTCAGCCAGATGCCAGTAGCCAGAAAAAAGCTGTTATGCGCAAGTTAACGCACTCCCAAGGGGAATTTATGCCCAAATGAATTGGCGGGGACTCTCACTATCCTGCAGAGCTGTGCAATCCTGGGAGCGGTTTGACTACTTTGACACAACTGACGTACTTCCTAATGCGATATCACTGTATTTAGCCAAATGTCTGACATCAACAATGACGCAAAACAACTTTGTGAGGAGAGACAGGAAGTGAGGAGCTAGCACCAGCAGTTTGAAAGGAGGACTTCTGCTGGCAAATAAGCCAAACTTCATTCTTTCAGACTGCTGTGTTTGGTTGCCAAACACACATAGCAACAAGTCAAACTTGGTTTCCACTATTGGGCATTTCACATCTGAGCTACACTTCTTCTTCTGTGGACAACTGGAAGGGAATTGTGTCCTGCTGCTGCAGCTGTCAGTTAGGGGTTGAAAGCCACAGCATTAGCAGTATTTTAAAAGAATAGAGAAAGAAAGAATAGTATTTTTTTCTTTGTTAAAAGAAACAAAACAAAACAAAAAAAAAAGAAGTCATGTTTTTTAAGCGTACCATATCATAAGGGTCTTAAATATGTAGGAGTGAGCTCTCTGCTTCTCACGGGCATCTCCAGCAACCACCAGATCAAAATGGGCTGATTTTGTAGCTACGTCTGAATACCTTGGTTTCCTAGCCTCTATCTACTTTGGCATCATTTGCAGTGGGGAACGGAATCTGGCCCACTGAAACGTGCCTATTTTTTTTGAGGTGGAAAGGACGTTTATTTAAGAAAGTGAGCGAGAGAAAAGGGGATTGGATAGTCATTCAAGATATGCAATGGTCTCATATACTTATTTTAACTTATCTTTAACACAAGGAATCAAAACTATAGTCCAAAAGCTGCCAGACCTTCCTGGGACACATGAAGTTGCCCAAGACCATGAAATAATTTTGCAGTATGTGGAACCTGTACACATACAGGACAGGACATGTGTGTGCAGAAAAAAAATCTATATGGCTGAGGCAAAGGGCCATATAGCCACCCATATCTGCCTATGTACTGCAATGGTCCAGAACATCTGATTCAGACTGTTATTTTCTACCTAGAAAGAAGTAATTTTCCTAACGCTTAGGTAATTCAGGAGGATCAGACTAAGCCTACGTGGAGTTGCCAGCATTTTCATCACAGCTTTGTGACAAAGCTCAACAGATTTGGCTAATGCAGTCCATAAAACTTTTAAAACATGAAGTCCTGAAAGCTGTATTTAGATACATATAAATCCAACCACTAAAAATCATGGTTCCACACTTCACGGAAAAGAACAAATTAAAAAATGAAAAAGTATGTATAAATATAGTTCTATCGCTAATGACTCAGGGTCAGAATTCTCTTTTGGTGTACGAAGGAGGGAAACATTTTGTACACAGCAAAGGTAATGGGGCTAACAGACACAGCATTCTCTTTGTAAGTTGACCTCTGATGATTTCCATCACAAGTTAACCTGAGTTATCCTTTTGATTAAGAGAAGAGCACTAGCATGCAGTTACCTAGATGAAGTTCATTGATAAACGCCTTAAAAAAAAAAAAAAATCAGTCTTTATGTCTTCCAAGCGTGCTGATAAGCAAAGCGTTCTGCTTGGCAAAAGGGGCCCCCCCCCT